CATTCACCACATCATCTCCAGTGCCAAACAGTATCCAGCAATGTACTGGGTACTGAAATGTGTTAAATGAGGGAATGAAACACTACTTAGTAATTTTGTCTACCTCCTCTAACCAAAAGAGATACAAAAAACAAACAAAACAAAAAAACCCTAAAAAAACTCCACCGAAAAATACATTCTACTAGGTATCAGGAATTTATATGTATGAATACCAAGGAAGACCTGTCTTGTCAAATTTTGTATCCCCCGACCCTAGAAAATGTTGAAAGACAAACAAACAAAAAACCCTTGTCGGGAACAGGTCAGAATACTACCCTAATCTCCTTTTACGTCCCGTCTACTCTGCCTTCTCTGAAAACTGAATGGCCTTCAGAGGAGTAGGTTCTCAATAGAAAAGTCACTTTTCCAGGAACAGGCACTTCTCACTCCGTGCAAAGCGAGGCCAAGTTAACAGAACCGCAAGGTCTTGGCTAATGCAAGCACAAACTGATTTATTATGATTGGCCCAAATTACCCACTTTTTTTTTGCTGCGCAGGCCAATATCCACAACCGCACTGACGCCTCATGTAGGGCAAACGTTTTCACCAGTAGCTGGTGGGGAGCACAGTGTTTCTCAGCCAAAACCGGGGGAGAGTGGAATTTGTGCAGTGTAGTAATCCAAACATCTCGAGTGTATTCCAGCCTTTAAAATCTGCATCTCGTAAGACATTCCTTCCATTTTCCACAATACAAGCTGGGAAAACAAATCTCCTGAGTCCTTCAGGGACGACCTCCTTTCCAAATACTACAACCACTGCCAACTCTCCATCCCCGAGCCCAAGGCTGAACCACAAACGACCCAGCTCTGAAGGGTCACACCCGAGCTGTCCGCCACCCGCCTGGCCTTTAAAGAAGCCGCGCGCGGTCTAGCTGCCCCAGAGTTCAACTTCCGGCCACATAATGAGAGGATGTTTTTCTCCAGGCCACTCCCTCCTGGCCACGCCCTCCACGCCTCGCCTTCCGAGCGCGAGCCGGAGCGCGCGGGCGCGCGGGAGGGGCGGGGCCGCTTGGGCGGCCGCTGAGATGTTCTCCCTCTCCAGCGGCGTGAAGGCACGCGCAGGCACGCCCAGGGCTGGCGGACAGCGCGGCGGCGCGCGCGCGCGCTCCCGGGGCCCTCCCCCGTGACGTGCCTGGCCGAGCCGCGCAAGGGCGCTGTAGCTGCCAGTGCCGCTGTCATGGCGTCCGAGCGCTGTCTGAAGAGAACCCGCGGCGGTCTCTTTAGAGCGAGGGGCTGGCGGCTGGTTATGGAGAGCAGCCCCGAGAGCTTGCAGCCGCTACAACACGAGGTGGCCGCTGGGCCAGCGCCAGGGACAGGTTCTCCGCAGGAAGGGCGACAGGGGACCGGGCTCGCTGCTGGGGATGGTCCTGGAGTATGGGCGGCGGAGAGCAGCGGCGGGAATGGGCAGGGGGCGGCGGCCGCCGGGAGGAGCCTCTCGGACTCGGTTTCCCCCTCCGGCTCTCCTCAGGTTCTCGCACCCTGCAGCTCCTTCCCGGGCTTGGACTTGAAGGAGAACGATTTGGAGAGTCTTGCTGCCCAGAAGGCGCCTCTGAGAGGGCAGCACAAGGTGACCGCCTCCCCGGAGGCAGCCGAGGCCGAAGCCGGCCATGGGTTGGGTCCGGCCGGAGACGCGAGCGCCCGCCCGGATCCCGCCGGCACCTGCCGGGCAGAGTCGGCAGCCGCGGGCTCCGAGGAGCCCAGCAGCGGCGGCGGCCTCAGCAGCAGTTGCAGCGACCCAAGTCCTCCTGGGGAATCGCCAAGCC